ATATTAACTAATATTTATGTGCGTCCGCTGTAAATTCTGTGCTCGGCGTGTTCTAGACACAAAGTACACGGTAATGCTACACATTAGACTGTATTCGGACACGTAATAATCAAAGGTCTTGCTATGCAATGTAGTCGCTGTGACCCCTTATTTGCTGCTCTCGGTACACTTCAATAATACAAGCCCTGTAACACCTGGTACAGCATTATTATACTGAGCAGGTGCTCAGCATTATAACCCTGTACCAGGTGGAGAATAACCCTGTACCAGAGGATGATCCTTTGTAAGATTTGGGAAATTGTCAAAAATACCGGTGATGCTTTGTAACGTTGCTCTTTATCTGGTTATAATTATTATTACGAACAATAACACGTGTCACGAGATGTTTTAAAGTTAGAAAAAAGCATTACACACACGAATAATATAATCATTATGCGACATTGCTCTATTCAATTACATTGTACTAATATTTTTTTTCTCAATGAAACAGAACGTAACGCCCATAGTACAAGTTATTCCTAACTAACAGTACTTTCATATGACACTAATTTCATAACTGGCCACCGTCCGCCCAAAATACCCATTCTCCTTTGTGAAAGCTATCCGGAAGCTCACAAAAGTGAGCTTTATATAATGTTTATCTGTGAAAAGTGAGTCTTATTCACTTAACAAACTGTGTTGCAATAAATAATAAAAATAAATAAATATTTCCAACACTCACACCAATTAGCCTAGCCCCAAAGTAAACTGTACGGCGTGTATTATGGGATGCTGGGGTAACGGATAGAATACATATACTGTACATATATAAATATATTTATATAGAAATACATATTAAACATCCATGACTGGAGAACAAATGCTCGTATTCATCACACAAACATCTGCCCCCACCGGGATTCGGATTCGAACCCGGGACCTCTCGACTCGAGTCGGCGACACCATGAAACCCGGCGTATAAACCACTCGGCCACGGAGTTCGTCTATAAAGCTACTTATAATGATTTAATTATTGTATTCAATGTAAAGCAATTACTTACTTCCTATGTTTTAGGATGCTGGGGTAACGGATAGAATACATATACTGTACATATATAAGTATATTTATATAGAAATACATATTAAACATCCATGACTGGAGTACAAATGCTCGTATTCATCACACAAACATCTGCCCCCCCCCCCCCCCCCCCCCCGGGATTTAAACCCGGGACCTCTCGAGTCGGCGACTATGAAACCCGGCGTATAAATCGCTCGGCCACGGAGGTCGGCAATACAATATTAAAGGAAAAATTCTTAATAACCATATCTTAAAAGAAAAGTAGAGCGCTGGCGGATGTATGTAACATGCTAGTTCGCATTTTTGAGTAACATTGTTTGTTATGAACTCCACTTGGTGTGATTTATAAATGTCCTACTATGATTAGAACCCAGAACCTTAGGACCGAAAGCAAGTTCGCTGACACTACAACACAATTCATTAGATGAATGATTTTTCTGAAGAACTATAAAATTGCCTTGGCTATTCAGAATGCTTTTAAGGAAGTTTCCTACGGTCCGTGATTGCACAGATTACCTCGCCAACGCAGTTGTGCTAGTGCTACCTACTATTAGGACCAATCTTAGTCTTCACTCTTCCTTGGCGCGAATTAACTTCTTATTAATGACTCCAACTTAGATATTTTTAACGGCACTTAAAAATAAACCGGAAAGACAAGGAAGACTAAAAATTAAGATAGTATTTTTATATAACAAAAAATATGTTTACGTTTTAGCGGTATATGATATTTATACTTACCTTAATAAGAACTTGGAACTATTCGTTTATATATTTGTCTTCTTACGTAGGAGTAAACTATTTATATATACATAATATATATGTATACTTATATATATTTTACTACTAATAATCACTACTATTAATTACACTGTGTGCTGTTTAAGTTTCCATTTATAATATTATTAAATATCACTTGTATGTTTATGTATTATGTAGCTAGTAGATTATAAATAAATAAAACAGCTAGCATCAACAGGCTCACCGAACACTGTGGACGAAGAAGACGAAGATGTCGTAGGTGCGGGCACAGCTCATTGAGATATTATGGCTCCGTCTCCATATCCGTGATAGTGTACCTAGAGACGCGTATCCGTTCAATCCAATTATCCGAATTTATTACGTTCTTTTTAGGGTTCCTTACCCAAAGGGGAAAAACGGAACCCTGTTACTAAGACTCCGCTGTCCACCTGTCTGTCTGTCATCTGGCTGTATCTCATGAACCGTGATAGCTAGACAGTTGACATTTTCACAGGTGATGTTTTACTGTTGCCGCTATAACAAAAAATTAAAACAGATTAAAATAAATATTTAAGTGGCATCCCATAATGTATAAGGTGTTTTTTTTCAGACGACTCAAAGAGTTCAGAATTTATAGCTTAATGAAGTTTATTTTAATAGCTATTCATTATCCTAAAGAAAACTCAGTCACAATTTTATTTCAGTACTTATATTTAACTAGAAATAGCCAAGAGTAACCGAGTTTTCTTCAGGATAATGTATTAGCTATTAGCTATAAACTTCATTAAGCTATAATATATTCTGAATTCTTTGAGAAGTGAAAGTATAAGTATCATTCTATAAATGGATATTGTAATAATTACGTGAAAAAACACAAATAAATGAAAATTTATGTATTGCGGCGCTCTTTTTAGAAGAAAAAGGCGGGCGTTTCGTCGAGGATCATTGTTAGACAACGACGTCAAGAGCACCAATTACGTCCGCATAGCGTTTAATACTAACTACATTTTCAAAGCAAAGGGCCGTTGCCTCATGGGAAATATTTTTTTTCAGTTAAACATTTCTTTTGGTGTGTTTCTAATAGAAACTATGCAAGGCTATTATTCCACTGACGATCCTAACAAAGATTTTTACCGTATCAGCTTACCAAAATTCAACTTCTAAATAGCTCAAGAAAAACAGACGAAGCTACAGCTGGACTGGCTTACTGCGCTCATTTCCACAGCGTTCCATCATCATCAGCCTATTATTGTCGCCACTGCTGGGGCACAGGCCTTCCCTATGGATGGAATAGGAAGATTGGGCCATGACCCCCCACGCGGGCCCAATACGGAGTCGTGGGTGCTAACGACTGCAGATGCAGCCGGGACCAACGGCTTAAAGTGGCTTCCGAAGCACGGAGGAGCTCGAGATAGTTAATTTTTGGTCATCCATCCAGTAGCTATTGCAAAAGTTGCATAACTCACAATCTCAAGCCAAACGTGCAAACCACCTGCGTCATCGAGCTTGTCCTGTAAGTAATTATGATCTTTATATTCAAGCAACCTGAGATTACGGAATAAAAGGCAGATAGAATGCACCGAACACGCAAGTGTGGCCACAAGAAAAAATGCGAAGTCAAAAGTAAAGACTTTTTTGTCTCACTGACGGACGATCCAAACAAAGATTTTTACCGTTTCAGCATGCACCATGTTACCAAATTTCAAGTTAAAAGTGAAAAACAGACGAAGCTACAGCTGGACTGGTTTACAGCGCTCATTTCCACAGCGTTACTTACAGATTATTAGGGTACTTTACTATGGGGATCAGCATCGTACATGAACACGATAGGTACACATCCCGCAAGCATATTTGTTTGTGGTTTTGCTCAAGAAGATTGCCGCGACCTATATTTGTTCCTCAAAAGCGCGTTACAAATTTAACTTTAAAATGAAAGTAAATGATTCCTTCATGATGTATTTACCATACAATCCTATACCTACTTACATACATATAGCAAGAACCCTTACACGTCGCTTTCCGATTGGAGACTTGTTAAAAGTGAATCTTATGCTGCCGGCAGTGCAATCTGATGTATAAAGGATTATAATAATATAAGCATAGAAAATAGATACTTTTTTTAAACATGGCGCACAAATTACCCACTCAATCCCGTCGCGAATAAATGATACGTCAGAAAGTGTGCCGCTCCAGCCATCTTTACCTTGCCGGCCTGAACCCAATCCCCTACCTTGCTACTCACCAGCAGAAACACAACACCACGAAATTGAAGTGTTATTTAATATTTGATATGTTTATAAGTATTAAAATATTAAATACAACTAGTTTTAACGGGTTCATGCACGACACTTTATTTATTAATTGACGTATCGCAGCCTTTTCAAGTCTGCTTCGTCAGAATAATGATTTTGAGTTTGTTTCGATGGTTCTTCTCAGATAAGTGTCCCAATTTTGGAACCGGTGGTAGTTTACGGTAAGTAGTTAGGATCAAATAAACAAACTCAAAATTACAAAAAAGAATTCCTTCAGATGGGGTTAAGCAGAACCACGGTGAAAAGGGTGTTAAATGAAGACTTAGGGCTTCGGGCATATCGAAGAAAAATAGGACATCGTTTGAATGCTCGTCTAATGGACCTGAGACTGAAGAGATGCCGCGCTTTGTTGAAGCGGTACGAGGGAAAAAAATATCGGGAAATTCGTTTTTCGGATGAAATTTTTTTTACCATAAAAGAGAGCTACAACAAACAAAATGATAAGGTGTAGACACAGTAGTGAAGAAGCGAGTAACCGTATTCCGCGTGTCCAACGAGGTCATTTTCCATCCTCGCTCATGGTATGGTTGGGAGTTTTTTAAGAGCGAAATGAAACCCTTTAAAACCGCTAAATTGATTCAAAACCTATTTGATTTCGCTTTTTAGGGAAACCGGTTTTTTTAAAGTTAAGGTAGAGCCAAACCATAATAAAACGCTTCTTATGTACTTGACACTGATTTAGGTTCGAAAATTAACCGGTAAACAAGCCCTGAGCTCAACAAAGTAGGTAAATAAAAAATAATTATTCTGGCGACGCATTCCTGCAAATGCTGCGAAACGTCAATAAATAAATAAAATCAATGCATCTAACCCGTTGAAACTTGTTTTACTTATTTTATGATCGTAACAGTTTTTTTCGCGGTTGGATCAACATTTTTTTTATTTCACAGTTATGGCTGACGGTTGGTGCCTCATTAGCGTTCCTGATTATAGGCCTGGTGAGAGGTTATTCGGCATCCGGAATACCATCGATTGAAGCCGTAAACCCCGAAATTATACAGAGCAGTGAACAAAAATCATGGATTGGTGAGATGATATACCTACATCCAATACTAATATTATAAATGCGAGTGTGTTAGCCTATCTGTCTGTCTTTCTGACTGTCTGTTTCCTCTTCACGCTTAAACCCGCTGAACTTATTATATTTTTATTTATTCAATTCGTGTTGTGGATTTTCCCGCTATGCGAAAGACTGCATCGAGTCCAGCCAGTAAATGCCTTGGCCGAGTTAAATTTATTCTAGCAAATTTTTTATTTAATATTTATGAAGTACTCATGTAGGTATATATATTGTATACTTGTTAACTGTTTCATTCACCGTTCGGGTATAAGACTAACGGTAATGCCATCGACTATAGATAGACAAAAGAAAGATTTATAAAAGTAACTAAAGGTTTAATAAAGATTGAGTATAAATCTGAACTATTTAACTTAACTATACGAGTGTTAGATTTTGTTTCTCAATATTTTTGTATGCCACATAAAATCACAAACATGACAGCACCTTGCAATATGTATTATGTTACAGGTGCTATCCCACCATTGGGTGCATTTTTGGGAAGTTTGTTGTCTGGGGCCTTGATGCAGCGAGCTGGGCGCAAGCGGACCCTGCAGCTCACAGCCCCTCTGTGGGTCGCTGCTTGGCTGCTGCTGGGTTTTTCTAAATACTTCGCCCTCGTCCTCGTGGGCAGAATACTGTCCGGTCTCTGTGTCGGCTTCGTTTTGGCCCCAGTACAAGTGTATGTAAGTAATTAATCATCATCATCAGCCTTTTAATGTCCTCACTGCTGGGGAATAGGCCTACAATATGGTTTGCATAGGGAGAATGGGACATGAATGAAATCCACCACGCGGGCCTTGTGCGGAATGGTGGGTGCTAACCATGTACTAACGATTACAGATGCAGCCGGGACCAATGGTTTAACGTGCCTTCCGAAGCACGGAGGAGCTCGAGATAATAAGTTTTTGGTCACCCATCCAGATGCCACTGCAAAAGTTGCATAACTTCCACAATCTCAAGCCAATCGCGCTAACCACCATAGAGCTTCTTCTGTACGTAATTATGATCTTTATATTTAAGCAACCTGAGAAGACGGAACAAAAGGCTGATGGTACGCATCGAACTCGCCAGTGCGGCCACAATTAAAAATGCGAAGTCTAAAGTAAAGACTTTTTGTCTTAGTAGACAGTTTTTAAAATGTTTAAACAAGGCGGCAGAGTCTTGATAAAAACTTAATATTCACGGGATGTACTCACAACACGACGGGTTGTAGCGTACTGACACGGATTTGTATTCGCTTTGACTTCGTATTTGCTTTGGTAGTCGCACTTGCGTGTATGGTGCGTTCCATCTGCCTTTTGTTTTGTAATCTGAACAAGCAACGTGGATAGAGTCTATGCGGAATGAGAATGGGCGTGGCGAAAAACGGAACTAACATTAAGATTTTTATTTGGCAATCAAACCCAGCAATCTGTTAAACGTCAAAGTTTTGTATTGATACGGATTTGTTTGTTGTTGTAATTTCTTGCGGTTTTTTGTATTTAATCATGTATAAAAGGGGTAAAACCTTACAAATACGGTAGAAAAGAACTACAGCGCCCTCCAATCTAAATACCATTCTCATTCCGCACAGACTAGTAGAAGTGATAAAAACAGTCGCAGCCTAGTTTTTGTTGGATTTCCTCAAATAAATTGAGTTAATCTTCTTAAGTGGCATTATAATGACCAGGAAACTAAATGTGGGTATTGTAAGAATTACTTTATATTGATGACATTCATTTATGTTACTGGAATCTTTAAGTAGATATTTAATAACCGAGAAGCTAATTAGCTCTTTATTATGATCAATGGATGGTACCGAGAATGTAATAGCTTCTGTGTTATATAAAATATGCTATTCATTTGAAGGCACGACTACGATCGCTTCTCAACGTCCCTTTCTGTGATTAATGTTCTTAATACAATTACTATCTAATAACAATTTATAATCAATTTATAGTTTAATACGTAATACTATCTATTAATACACTGCTGTATAACTATCATACATTCAAACCGTACATTCCTTACAGTTATGCGGTTGGCATCCCCCATAACTAAAATATGCAATTTCTTCTCTAATATTTAATACTTGTAAAGGTATTCATTTGACATTGTGGGTTGCCTACAATGCGAAGAGATGGCGCTGCCTTGCAGCCTAAAAGATTCTAGAGAAAATTCAACACGGACAATTAGGGCCGCGTAGTATAATGGTCAGACCATCCACCCGGATAGCGAATGTTGCGGATTTGATTCCGTCTGCTGCCTGGTCTGCGTGGATTTTTTCTAGTAAAATCTTCTTTATATTTAAACATCTAGCAGTTAAAAGTTTAGTTTAGTTAAAAGCTTAAAAAATAAAAATATTACCATGGATGCTATTTCTTCTTTCAAATGCTTAATAGTTGTAAGGGTATTTATTGATTTGACATTGTGGGTTACCTACAATGCGAAAAGATGGCGCTTTCTTGCAGCCTAAGAAATGCTAGAAAAATCTTGACACTGACAATAAAGGCCGCGGTAACATAATGGTCAGTGCATCCACCCGGATAGCAGAGGGTGCAAATCCTGTCTGCTGCCTGGTCCGCGTGAAATTTTGAATGTGAAAAAATGACAATAGGGATGATGACTTTTTTTTCTTCGTTTATCAGGTAGATTATCAAAAAGTATTAGACACGTATTTTTTCTTTTTTCACATAATATAAACATTGCAGAGATATATTGATTTGAAAAGTCGCATAACGTCACGTTTGAGTACACTTTTAAGTGAAAATTCACTCAAAAGTGACGTCACGAGCCCCTACTCCCAAACTTTGACGCGCTATAACTTTGTAATTTTTTGGTTGATTGCCCAAAGAAAAAATACGTGTCCATTATTTTTTGATCATATAACTGACGAAATAAATAGAATTTCGTTTATTGTACCCCGTCATCACCCCTGTTTTCACTTTAAAGTGATGTCACGAGCCCCTACTCCCAAACTTTGACGCGCTATAACTTTGTCATTTTTTGGGCGATTGCCCAAAGAAAAAATATGTGTCCATTATTTTTTGATCATCTAACTGACGGACTAAATAGAATTTCGTTTACTGTACCCCGTAATCACACCTATTGCTTGCAAACAGGTGACAATGCTCTGCTGAGAGTAATCATTATTTATTTGCTCTAAGCGTCTTTTGAATAATTTAATTCAATGATAACGCCAATCCAAGCGTCAACTCTGGTGGAAACTTGTGCCTCCCATTATTTTAAATGGATAAATAATCATAACAATAAATGCGACAGTGAAGTATTTGTTGTAGCTCATCCTAGATGAGCGCAAATGTGGTTTATAGCACAATAATTATGTAAGTAAACTAAATTGTATGTGAAGTTGATAAAAAGGTATTCTAAAATATTGAAACTAAATATAAATTTGATGTTAAACACATAAAATATTTTTAAATGGATGTTTAAAACTCCTGAAATATTTGTTGCCTAACACTTGCTTTCAATAAGAGTTTGAGAGGCTACAAAAGCTAAAATAAGAATTCTAAGAATGATAACGCCTAGAAGCCTAGTACGTGCACGAAAACAACTACATATAAGTGATTTAATAGAAAATATTTGTAATATTTTCAAATGCATGGTCGGTAATATAGTCGTCTCTTTTCCTCGCGGCCCGTACCTGCTATATTGCTAACAGCGCATTCAGAATTGCGCTTAGAATCAAAGAAATAATTCTTCCGCATATAGCAATAAGACGTAAAAATTTTACGAGCTTGCATTTCAAACTGTCAAAACTTTTTGACGCATGCGTTATAATAAAGACCTTATTGTGCATTAAAGGTGACTTTCAATGTTTAAATAATGCCTTATATTGTTTTTGACTATGCGATCATCTTACGGAGCTCCGTGGATCGTCCAATGTACCTTTTGGACAGGTTTCAGGTACGATTTTGTTTGTGTTGGTGTATCTAGGGCATTTGATCAGGGTTGAGTTGTCACTAATAAATATTAAATAATTTCTAGGTAAGTGAATGCTGCGATCCTGAAATTCGGGGACGACTGGGCTCCCTGCCCACGATGTCTATGTCTTTTGGGATACTGTTATCGTACGTCGCTGGAAACTGGCTCTACTGGCGATATTTGGCGTTTTTCTCGTGCATATTTTGTGGTAAGTTTCCCTGTTTCTTTTCTATGTAGTTGATGTTCTTGTTGTGATTCTGTATGCATGAAATCGCGGGTACTAGAATATACATATATATTGGTAGTTAAATGTTTTACAGATTCTTCTATTAAGACCGGCAATACACAGACAGCTAGAGCAGGTAACCAGTGATCAAAATACACGGATCGCTCTTGTAGACAGTGTCAATAGCTTGAAGCTGCCATGTCACTGCCTTGCCAACCGCCTGAAGTAGTCGCAAATGCTCGAGCGGTCCATGTATGTGTGTGTACGCAGCAGACTGTAGCTCAATATGCATCTCCGACTGCTTCAAGCTGCCGGTGTATGGCCGTTAATATAGATATGTCTGACTGAAAGTATTGTGGGTCGTAGGTACGAGTACATGTGCTTGTTGAAAGTACTGTTGTAGCAGCAACACTGTATCTGGCAACACTGACTGACCGGATATCCCTAAACTGTTAATATAACGTAAGGTTGTTGTATGTAATTCTAGGAAGTATTGTAGTTCTGTGTTAATTTTAATTGTAAGTGGCCCGGGGCGCCAGATTTGTAAAGACGTCCCTGGCTACAATTAAAAAGAGGAAGAAATCTAGACTTTTTTAATTAATATTATAATAAAAATTGTAACTGGTACAACTTTTATGTACCTATGAGAAAAAAGAGTGAGGTAGTTACACAAAAAATATTGTGAAGCATCCATTCTTGTCTTCACACAACTCTGCCTAATTTTGTACTCTGAGTATTATCATGTATTTATTGAACAAAAATACGCCGAGTTCATTAAGAATATTAACGGAATTTTTCAACAAAATCAAATCACTACTTTTGAAGGAATATTATTTTTTTGTACATAGAGTCCATTGTAAAAATTAAAAATCTTAATTCTATAAACAAACGGTGCTCCTAAAACGTATTAAGTACTTAGCAATATTCGCAGAGTCAGTGCATTGCTCAAAGAAACATATCAGGCGCCCGCGTAGCTGACTATTAGCAATTTCATATTATTTTGTAAAGACTGGCGACGCATTTGTGTTTCTGGTGTTAAAAATGTACCTACATAGCCAACGGTCATCACTTACCATCAAGGGAGCCGTCTTCTCGTAATATCCCTAAATAATAATAAATAGAAAACTTGATCACTAGTGTTTAGTGTCCGCAACTCCCTCTAAATTAGTACCAAGTCCCATGAAATATCAGTGACTATCAGTGGAAACTGTGTTGATGGAACAATATTAAAAGAAACCATACTTTTTTTGGAGGTCGATGGCGCAGGTGGTTAGCGCTTTCGGCTGCAATCGTTGAAGTTAAGCAACTTTCGCAGTGGTCGGTCATTGGATGGGTGACCAAAAATCTTCTATCTCGAGTTTCTTCGTGCTTCGGAAGGCACGTTGAGTCCTTGGTCCCGGCTGCATCTGCAGTCGTTAGCACCCGCCAATACGCGCTGGGCCCGCGTGATGGGTCATCGCCCAATCTCCCTATTCCATCCATAGAGAAGGCCTGTGCCCCAGCAGTGGGGACATAATTAGGCTGATGATGATACTTTTTTTCAGTGGCTTTATTTTTGGTACTACTGCCATTGCCCGAGTCACCTGTATGGTTGGAGTCTCAAGGAGCGGATCCCTCGCAAGCAGTCATGTGGCTCCATCTATCGGCCCGCGCAACTGCTACTGTTAAAGATATCCCAGAGTAAGAGACATCATTATGACCTGCGCAGACAGGGGACAATAAAATTGTCCGCGGACTTTTTGTCTGCCAAAATCTTATCAAATATCTTAATCTAAGGTCAAAATGTCTAGATCGTTTACAACTGCATCGGGTAAAATACTCAAGGGATTAAAAGTACCCCGTACAAAATATCCCCCAAACAACCGAGGACGCCGAGAGACTGGACAGGACAATAGTACGCGGAAGTCCCCGAAAAAAATAGAACTAATGTGACTAGGCGCAGCCACGCACACAGGGAACTTTAAAGCGCCTACTGACATGCCTGCCTCAGGGACAATCTAGGGTGTAAGAGCCTTAATTACCTCCTGAATTGTGATGTGTGTAGGCAAGTTGGGTCATTTTTTATAAATCGGGCCTGCGGCAGGGCGGCAGGAGCGCGAGACCACCCTTGGTTCCTAGATTGTCCCTGCCGCCCTGCACGTTGCCGCGTATGTAGCGCGATCGGGGCAATTTCTCAATCAGTCGGTTGGTAGCTGTCACACGAAGCGCACGTATTTCGATGAAGACGGCGGCAGATCATAATGAGCATGAAGTTTATACACGAGTGATCGAAGTATATAAAGACCGGCCCCACATGAGAGATATAAAAAAAACAAACATTATTTATATATATTCGACGACCTCCGTGGCTGAGTGGTTTGTACGCCGGGTTTCATGGTGTCGCAGACTCGAGAGGTCCTGGGTTCGAATCGCGGTGGGGGCAGATGTTTGTGTGATGAATACGAGCATTTGTACTCCAGTCATGGATGTTTAATATGTATTTCTATATAAATATACTTATATATGTACAGTATATGTATTCTGTCCGTTACCCTAGTATCCCATAGGACAAGCCTTACAGTGCTTACTTTGGAACTAGGCTAATTGGTGTGTGTGTTGGAAATATTTATTTATTTATATATATTTATTTAATATATTGTTTTAAACTTTCATGGTCACTAACATTATAGTAATATAAGTTATTTACGGGATTGTTACCATGTACCTTGTTTTTAGCGAGTTTCCGATATTTCGGCACTGTTGCAAGCGCCATGATCACGGAGTAACTGAAGTAATTGCGGGTAGGCTGTTATTGGCAGACATATCGGTCTACCCTCCGACGAAATAACAAAACATAAAAATTTCAATCGTGAGGACGGGTTTAAATTGTCGAGTGTCTGGAATCCTGTGGTTCGTATGTGTAAAACCGGAAATAATCAAAAAAGTGTCGTGTCGCGATCCGATACTGTAAGTGTTGTGTGTCGAGAACAGTTTCGAGTGAATAGTGAGAATGTGAACAGTGGTACGGGTCGCAATAAAAGACTTCGTCGGAGGGTAGACCGATATGTCTGCCAATAACAGCCTACCCGCAATTACTTCAGTTACTCCGTGATCATGGCGCTTGCAACAGTGCCGAAATATCGGAAACTCGCTAAAAACAAGGTACATGGTAACAATCCCGTAAATAACTTATATTACTATTTATTTAATATTTTTTATTTTTAAGTATGTAACTGCTCGATGTGTAAATCTAAAGAAAGTATTACTAGAAAAATAGAAATAGTTTCTTTTTTAAGTTTTTCTTGTAATATTTTCTTTAGATTCAAACATTGAGCAGTTACATGCTTAAAAAATAAAATTATAACTTTAATTGCTATTTATTCTTCCAAATGTTTAATACTTGTAAAGGTATTCATTTGACATTGTGGGTTACTTATAATGCGAAGAGATGGCGCTGCCTTGCAGCTTAAGAAAGGCTAGAAAGAATTGCATACGGCCGTCAGGGCCGCGGTAGTATAATTGATCAGGGCATTCGCCCGGATAGCGGAGGATGCGGGTTCCAGTCCCGTCTGCTGCCTGATCTGCGTGGATTTTTTTCTAGTAATATGAACATTACTTATTTACAATACATTTCTTTCTGTTGCCAATTCTTCACACAGTATTTCCTTTTTTGCGGTAACACCGTAGAAAAAGCCAAGGCCCGGCTTACCGATATATCTGATCTGATTTTTGATAACACTGGGACCATCATCAACCTGTACGTTTAGCTCAACATACCCCCGAACACTGAATAGCAGGCATGTGTGCTAGAGACAAGCCGATATTTTGCCCCGACCGCCGTACACCCTTGATTGTCCTTGCGGCAGGCATGTCAGTAGGCGCTTTTAGTCTGCGTTGCGCGCTCGATCTGATTTTAATATAAAGGACCCCGTATTTTCTTTTAAAACGTCTCCTCTTTTTCTTGATTTCATGTTAATTACAACCAGCACAACGTAATCTGACAAATGCTTTAGATATGTCACAGAAAATACCTATAGTATCCTGCCTGCCCTCCCAAGCATCAAAAATATGTTTCAAAAGTTTTGTTGCTACAGACGTAGTACGTAGACGTAGACTTGTGTGCGTAGACGTAGTAAACGTAGACTAGTGTGCCTCAAAGGAACATACATACATATATAGATTGTTAATAAACACAATACCCTGTCTGCGCGTCGCGCTTCGCGCTCTTGCATTGCGCAGTCGGGTAAAAGGAGAGGAAAGATGTAGTTAATAGACCAGTTAGTCCATCAGTCAGTAACAAGTGCATAAATATATTTTTACTTTATTACTCTGTGTATTATGTATTTGAATAAGAAATAATATGAATTAAAAAATTACATATTTTACATTTCTGTTGCATAGAGCGTGTGTTATTATCTTCTTACTTCAAGTGATTAAATGAATCACATTAAATTTTATAAGTAAGTTTATTCATATTAAACGAAGTGTTTCTTTATTTCAGAAAAGGGGAAGAACAACCATCAAGTCTGTTCACCCGAAAAGTATTCTTTTCGTCTGCAGTGATAAAGCCCCTGACAGTGGGGTTTGCTCTACTTTTTTTCCAGCAATTTAGTGGAATAGACGCCGTAATATTCTTCACAGTTGAGATATTTCAATCTGCAGGTAATTAAGTACGAACATCCCAGATTATTAACCTTGTCAGGCTCTAAATCTTCGTGCATGCATTTTTTTCTACAATGTAAAAATTAACTATTGTGTGCTTTTATATTTGCTAAAAACATGTGGCGCTTCAGCTATCGTCATCTTACTGATCTACCATGCTATTCTCCCAAAGATATTTAAAAATATCGTTGTACTTTCCAAACCAAAGTTCTGCGCTGCGACAGCTAACAGTTAGAGTTAATTTAAAAAATAACATATATTATGCAATAAAACATTTAACTGCACAATATAATGTATCCATCGAGATATAAGAAACTCTTGCGCATTTATTTTATTTTAATTTTATAGACAGGTAGGCAAATGCTTTTATGCCAGACCCTGTCAAAAGCCTTGGCGATGCCAAGGCTGATAGCCAGGGACTCTCCCCGCATGACTATAGTTTCATCTCAGATGTGTGTCACATACGCTAGAAGGTCACCCGTCTATTGTTTCGGCCTAAAGGTAGCGGGTCAGATGGTTGTTACTCCTACTATTTTTAGGTGAAAGAGTAAGAAAGATCCATACAAACGTAAGATTGAAATTAAAAGCGCGTGGTTAATGTACAACTTTAAATCGTTGTAGATCCCAAACAGTCATATAAAATGAAAAATGGAGTAACCTAACCATGATTTTCGATTATCTAGATAATGATACCCAACTCGACATGTTTCGTCAACTTATTTTTGTTACTTCGTCACAATATGGCGCCTATTTGTCCCCATATTGAATTTTGATTACTATCATATCATTAGCAGCACTCTCATAATTAAGACGAATCGATTGACGTATGAATCATCAAAATCGGTCCACGTGTTTGGTCTCTAGTGTGCCACAAAGGAACATACATAGACTGTTAAACACTAAACCCTGTCTGTGCATCGCGCTTCGCGCTCTTGCATTGCACAGTCGGGTAAAAAAGGGGACCGCACAGACCCGGCCAACTATCGGCCGATAGCTGTCACCTCAGTGTTGTGTAAAGTCTTAGAAAGGGACCCATTATTGAAAATTGTTATCCATTCTTGAATATCTAATGAGTCCCGATTGTTTAAGTACCTTTGTTCCTTACTTAACAGTATTATAGACTACTGGACTTGTTTTTTTATTTTCAGTTTTTATTTGAAGTAATATTTAAGCAGTCGGGTTTTTCGATTTTTTAAATTCATCATTTTTTGGGTACCGGTTGCACATTGGCATCGCTCCAAGACTCCGGCACACGCCCCAAAGAGTACGAGTGTTGGTACAAACGCGTAAACTCGGGAGACAACTCCGCTGCACAATAGTTTAGTACAACTGCTGGGATGCCATCGGGTCCACTAGCTTTCCAGTCGTCGAGTGATTACAAATCAGCACGAACATCACGCTGCCTGATTTTAATATCGGGCATCGTAGTGCCACAATGAGGTAGGTGGCAGTGTATTGCAATCATCGATTCGGGAGTTAACCGCAAAGAGCTTTGCCAATAAATCATCTTTCTCCTGCGGCTTATGAGCTAGTGACCTATCTGGACATCGCAAAGGTGGCAGCGAGGGCTGGCAGAAGTTGTGCTGCACGGTCTTAGCCAAACGCTAAAAACTACGGGAGCCCGTAGGGTGTGTTAACAATTCGTGGCCAGTACTTGCAACACGTTGGGCATCCGCTCTGATGTAAGCCTTATTACAAGACTGGGAAGCACTAGATATTATAGAGAGCTTTTAGTGAGCGCGGTCTCTGATCCAAGCGCGATATGCCACCTGCTTACGTGAAACGGCATTAGCAGAGTCGCGATTGAACCAGCGGTTAAGTGTGCACGTACTGATGAGATTAGAATGTGGAATTTAATAATTCAAACTCAAACTCAAACTCAAACTCATTTATTCAGTCTAGGCTGTTACAAGCTCTTGTGAATGTCAAAGGCTATGCCATCGGTTCGTAAATCTACGGCGGGAGACCTTGTACTGAGAAGAACCGGCAAGAAACTTAGCAAGGGCTATTTTTTTCTCCCTGTTTTGTTTCAAACAGTGTCGTCAATTGAAAGATGACATCAAAAATTGAAAACATGTGTTGATGTCAACTTCTATCACATTAATATTATTAATTAACAAAAGTTAAGTATAGCTAGGTACTACTTTTAAATTTAGAAGTGGCGATTAAACAATTTTCAACCAAATCAGCAAAGTAAAACGACTTAGTCGACTGTTATATTAAGCCCAAGGTGACTGATCATTTATGAAATCTTTAACAGTATAGTAACCTTTCTTAAGGAGACATGTTTTTATAGACACTTTAAACTTATTGAAAGGTAAATTAATTATTTCTTTTGGTATTTTATTATAGTAACATATGCCTTGATCCACAAATGAACCAAGAACCTTTTGGAGTCTCAACGGTGACAATTTGAGTTTATCTTTATTTCTGGTATTGAAATTATGTACATCATCGCGCCTCGTATATAAATTTATGTTCTGACGCACAAACAATATACAATTGTAAATGTATTGAGAGGCAACAGTCATTATACCTATTTCTTTAAATTTATCCCTTAGAGAAGTTCGAGATCCCAAGCGATAAATAGCTCTTATAGCGCGTTTTTGAAGAATCAAAACTGTTTCAATGTCAGCGGCCGTGCCCCACAATAGAATGCCAAACGACATAATGCTGTGAAAATAGCTGAAGTATATTGTCCTAGCAGTGTCAACATCTGTAAGCCGTCTTATTTTATAGATTGCATAAGCAGCGGAAATAAGTTTACCGGCTAGTGTTGTAATGTGAGGGTTCCATTGAAGTTTGTGGTCTAGTGTTACGCCTAAGAAAACGGTTGTATCGACTAAAATTAGTTTTTCACCATTTAGAATTATATCCCCCATTTCAGCATGCTTTACATTCGGCAAAGTAAATTTCACACATTTAGTTTTGCTCGCATTAAGTCTAAGATTATTAGAAGAGAACCAGTGAAGTACCTTGGAAAGTGCATTGTTTACATCGTCATAATTAGTTTTACACCTGTCAACGTTGAAAATTAGCGAGGTGTCATCTGCAAACAAAACAATTTCACAAAAATTTTCTACAAAGAAAGGTAAATCATTAATGTAAATTAAAAAAAGAAATAGACCTAAAATTTAACCCTGAGGAACGCCTATTTTCACATGAGATCCGGCAGATTTTGCACCGTTAATATCAACTATTTGTGTCCTTTCTGTTAAATATGATTGCACTAATTTTTGTGCGGAATCTTTTATGCCGTAATGATTTGATTTCCGTAACAAAGTTTGATGATTAACGCAATCAAAGGCTTTAGATAAATCGCTGAAAACCCCAAGAGCATTCTGCGACTTTTCCCAAGCATTAAATATATATTTTAGCATAGTGGCCCCAGCATCAGTTGTGGAACGGTTTTTAGTGAAACCGTACTGCGCTCTGTGCAAAAGTTTGTTAATGTTAAAATGAGTCAACAATTGTTCTAACATTATTTATGACTTTCACAGATATACCCCATAAATCAGGTGCCTAAATTCCTAAATTCCTATTATGATCTCCTCAGCAAAAATTTCATCGAAATAGAGTAAAGAAATCTGATTGAATCGCGCGTAGCAACGCGAATTCATACACATTTCGAATCGAGTGAAACGACTCGTTGGGATACACATTAAACTAGTATTTTTTTACGTTTAAAGAGTGGCAAACAAGCTTGGACATATGGATGAACCCCATTGAAAGGGATGTACGTTTGATTTGAGTTTTTAAAAATTACTATAGGATTTTTAATCGACTTATACATATATAGAAAATTATTTCTTATAGCAAAAGTTTTCACTTCAAAGCCTAACATAACACAAACTAATCACATAATAAAAAAAAACACATAAATAACCCTCAATATTTTACCTCAGTGTGGCAGCCCACTGCGAGATTCTTTGCCCAAGAGTCCACTAGTAAATCGCAATAGTGCCGGTGCTCACTCTTGTTTATGGGAAGAGGGTGACAAACAAGCTTATGGCCAGCCGGATAGTAACCGGCCACCATCGCCTATAGACGTTTACGACTCAAAAAGTATCACTGGCGCCGTTGCCTACCCTGACCCATTTTCCTACCCCGTGGAGACCTAAAACCTTACTCAGCGACAGTTAAATAACACCATCGAAAGGTAGTGTTATTTTATTGTGGTATTCTATAAGCTGGAAGTTATTTCCCCAAACGGGTGCTCCAATCAGAGCAAAAAATCCGCTTTTTCCTCCTCACCTCAATTGGTAAATGCAATTATAATTATAATGCTGATTATGATGCTTGATATGATGTTGCGTAGACATACCTCCTTCTAGTGAATTTGATTTGATGCTTTGCTTCGACAATTGTATGCACGCAGACAGCGCGGTGTCAGACGGAATTGAAATGTTGACTTTATTTTGTTGTTTTTTTGTACATGTATTTAAATAAATTACAATAATAATAAATATAAAAAATAAATATTTCCAACACACACCAATTAGCCTAGCCCCAAAGTATGCACTGTAGGCTTGTGTTATGGGATACTAGGGTAACGGATAGAATACATATACTGTACATATATAAGTATATTCATATAGAAATATATTCATATAGAAATATATATTAAAAACCCGGCGTTTTCATGGTGTCGTCGCCGACTCGAGAGATCCCGTGTTCGAATCCCGGTGGTGGTGGTGAATACGAGCATCTGTACTCCAGTCATGGATGTTTAATATATATTTCTATATGAATATATTTCTCACCTCTCAAACCACTCGGCCACGGAGGTCGTCGTCTTTGTGCGAGAGGTAGGGCATAGCGGATTTTTCGTTCGAATTGAAGCGCCGATCTGGGGAAGTAATCTCCACCTAATAGAAGACCACAATAAAATAACACTACCTTTTGGTGGTGTTGTGTTTCTGTCGGTAAGTGTAGTTTCAGGGCTTCACGGGGTAGTGGATTAGGTCATGGTAGGCCATGGCGCGTATGAAGCATGTTTGTCAGCCTTTTAATATAAAAAATGAGTTCCTTTTAAAGTCTAGTTTTAGTTGTCAAATTTGTTTTATAATCAACAGTAATTAATTGCACGGCAGAATCCGTGAAGCTTGATTTGGCGATCTTAGTCACTGTATGACCCACAGAAAGAAAATCATTCATTGCCTGCATTTGTTTAAAGTGTTCAAGCTTTACATGTCATTAAAATATTTGTTTCTTAGGGTTTCACGCACATCACTTATTAAATAAAACTAGTTTTTACGAGTTAATGCACGAACTTTATTTATTTACTAGTGGCCTGCCCTCGCTTCGCTGCGGTGTAGAGCTGTAGTGTAAACTATAGTTTTTGTTCTCAGGCTTGTGCTATAAACAATGACTTTATTTATATAATTACACGTGTTATTATGAGTCAACCATAAAAGATAGACATATGCTGTTGCGAGATATTTTTTAGACAATTTTATGTAGAATATTTCCGTCATACATGATTTCTATGTAACTTTAACCATTAAGGCTGCACACGCGACGGAAGTTTAAAAAATGGAGTAACTTCTCCCGTTTTCCCAACATTTCCCTTCACTACTCTGCTGCTATTGATTGTAGCGTGATGAAAAGTATACTATAACCTGCCCAGGAGTATGAAGAATAATTGTACCAAGTTTGGTTAAAATCCGTCGAGTAGTTTTTGTTTCTATAAGGAACATACACACAGACAGACAGACAGACAGACAAAAATTTTACTGATTGCATTTTTGGCATCAGTATCGATCACTAATCACCCCCTGATAGTTATTTTGAAAATATATTTCATGGACAGAATTGACCTCTCTACAGATTTATTATAAGTAATAGATTGATGTTTCGCAGCCTTTTCAGGTCTGCAACGTCAGAATAATGAACCCGTTAAAACTAGTTTTATGGCATTAAAATGTTTCTCAATTCTTAATGTTTTAGGCAGCAAACTAGATGCCATGACCGCTACAATAATCGTTGGGTTAGTCCAGCTCCTAATGAACGGCGTCAGTACAATGCTGGTGGACCGTGCCGGCCGTCGGCCGCTGCTCATGATCTCGGCGGCCATCATGTGCATCTCCATGGCATCTATGGGTGCTGCGTTTTATTTCGAATTTCAAAATGAAAGCTGGCTAGGGTAAGCTATTTTTAATACTCTTTCGTTAATACGCAGCCCATTCTAAATAATATATTCACGTGCAGAATATAAGTGTATTACGCAATATATATAGACGTATAGGATTCATGTTAGAAATATATTGTATAGGCGGTTCCTTGAAAAAGTATGTGATGTTATGTCTTTTCTTGGATATAAACCTTAAATAAATATCCAATAATAACGTGAAAAACTTACAGTTCTCTGACCCAAGGTTTACTGTAGTTATCGTGTTGAAAATAACTAAGTTCTGAAACCTTAAACGTCGACAGAAACATAATATCAATGAAAAGGTAGCGTTATTGCCTGTGGTATTCTAAGGTTAAGATTACTTCCCTAGACGATTGCTCGAATTCGAGCGGGAACTCCGATATACGAGTATCTATATTCTAGCTAATAAAGGACGACATTTTCTCACACTGTTTAGATTTATATTTTGATACTAAAATATGGTAAAAAAAATGTTTCAAGGTACCTTCCCGTCGCGAGTTTGGTGACATTCATGGTCGGCTTCTCGCTGGGTTTCGGTGGGCTGCCGTTCCTGTTGCTTGGAGAGCTGTTCCCGGCTCATTACCGGTCGCAGCTATCGGCCATGGCGAGTGCTGTCAATCTGCTCTCCATGTTCACCGTCATCAAGACTTACCATGCACTCGAGGTATTTTTATTTTTACTTACCTATATAAGCCCTCCTCCTTGAGTCAGTTTCCTCATTCCTGATAGTCGTGCTCATCGGTGGGAAACAATTTTTCTTTGGTGTTGCGATGCCAGCGGCCTCGGTCTGTTGCCGAATGTATGTGGAAGTGACGAGAGCGGTGCGGATTTGGTTGGACCAGCGTGTAGAGCTTCTTCCTCTTGGTCGCTTTTCCTAAAATTTTGCAGTTATCATAATACTTTCTTGATATTTTTGCTATCTTTTCTTACTATGTGGCCGAAATATTCTAGGGCCCTCCGAAGAGTCTTTTCTTGATTTTGAGTTGTGTTGGAGCAGTCCACGGAATATTCAGCATCCTTCTTCAGCATAACATCTCTAAGGCATTACTGCGGTTTCTATCGGCCTTTGTCAGTATCCACGTCTCTGCACCGTAGGTAAAAATTAAGATAACCAAAGTTCAGACTAGGTAGAGCTTTGTGGTAAGCAATATGCTTCTGTTCTTCTAAATCTTATCCAGTTGTGGCATAGCAGTCTTTGCTATTCCCTTTCTTCGTCGCACTTCAACTCCAAGTTGTTAGTTATTTCTTGATTAAGTGATCCATTAAGTTCTAGATTGCCTGAGCGATCTACGATCATGACTTTTGTTTTTCATCTGTTTATAGTCCAGTCAATGAAGGTTTTCACCTCCGATTTCGTTGAATCTCCATCGATTTTAATGCAAATTGGTGAGTAGGTGGGGGATACCTTAAGAAACAAAAGTGACATAGTGCACAGTCCACATACCGCTTAGCCCGCGGGTTCATTATATTATATTTTATTTGTTGCGGGCGACTCGGCCTCACTGATTGGACAACCCAGCCCGCAGGCTTTGTCCACCACTATCTACCGCTTAAGGGTCCACCCAGCCCGCGGGCTAAAACACCCTCATATACCTTGGTTGTCATTTAATTACACACATCAATAGATAGCTTATAAAAAACAATAGATATGTTAATTTCCGATGTTATTTTAAATGTAATTAAATTTAACCTACGTCGTTCTTTTTACGACGACGATGCATACAAAATCGCGGGCACCCATTAGTAATGATAGAACTTAGCAGACAAACAAGTACAAATGTTATGTTACAGACGGTGTTAACGTCAGCGGGTACTTTCTGGATGTACTCCTGTTTTTGCGCGCTCGCATTCTTCTTCGTGTTGTTCGTCGTACCCGAAACCAAAGGCAAGTCCCTCGCTGAAATAGAACAACATTTCCGTGGGCTAAAGCAGAAGGATATTGTCAACATGCAAAACATTTCCACCGTGTGTTAGTTGTGATAATATAAGTTAAGATAATTTTGGCCCCTATGACAAGAAGTACTTTTAAAAAAAGTTGTATATTTTTCACATTTTGTATTAATATCTTTAATAATAAATATTTCCAACACTCACACCAATTACCTTAGCCCCAAAGTAAGCACTGTAAGGCTTGTGTTATGGGATACTAGGGTAACAGATAGAATACATAAACAGTACATATATAGGTATAAAAATACATTATTAAACATCCATGACTGGAGTACAAATGCTCTTATTTATCACACAAACATCTGCCCCGCACCGGGATTTGAACCCGGGAGCTCTCGAGTCGGCGACACCATGAAACTCGGCGTACAAACCAATCGGGCACGGAGGTCGTCAACATCTTTAATAGTTCCTTTGTTAGCATTGCTTTAAATACTCGACCGCAAATGGGTCATTCGCTTAAACATTTGAACTAAATTCGATTTTCTTAAAAAATATAAAACTTACAACTATCAAAGTTATACCCAAAGAAAGTGCGATTCATAATGGTTAAAACAGGTAAAATTGTTTTCTAAAGTACTGCAACTAACTATGTCATTAAGCAAGAAACAATGCTAACGATTTAAATTGCCATTAACGTTCTTTTTTATAAAATTAAGATAGTCAGATACTTATCATTGCTTTGGTTTTTGTTCATAGTTTTCTTAGACGCGTGTTTCTTGCTATGTTTTTAACTACCGTTTAACACAATTGAAAAACGACTCTTCTTTGGAAAACTCTAAGAAAAACTTAAAATACTAATTAATCACAATAAATTCCTGTTCATTTTAATCATCATGATATGCACTTTCTATAGGTATTCCTTTGGTAGTTGGAAATTTATACTTTTTGAGAAAATCAAATCAGTGTTCCGAGGTAGCAAGTGACCCGACTTATTTGCAGTCCAGTGTATTTTTAACCCCCGGAGCAAAAAGATGGTTGTTATTGTGACTATGGTGATTATTATTGAAACCAAAAATTACGTATATCTTTAGGGCGTGATCCCATTGAGAACTATAACTAAGAGATACCTATTGAGTTATAAACTATGTATTCGATAGTTTTCCAATAAAATATTAAATAGTGATCACATTCATAGGTGAGCTGCAAACTATGTGATTGTGAGCCAATACGGTTAAATTACCAATCTTAAAATGGATTAGCTAATAAAGTAGTATCTCACGATTGTGCCCATCTAGAGCTACAATAGGGATGATGACTAATTTTTTTTCTTCGTTTATCAGGTATATTTCATAAAGTATTGGACACGTATTTTATCTTTTTTCACAAATATAAACATTGCAGAGATACCTATATTGATTTGAAAAGTTGCATGACGTCACGTTTTGGTACAATTTTCACTTAAAAGTGACGTCACGAGCCCCTACTCCCAAACTTTGATGCGCTATAACTTTGTCATTTTTTGGTTGATTGCTCAAAGAAAAAATATGTGTCCATTATTTTTTGATCATCTAACTGACGGACTAAATAGGATTTCGTTTACTGTCATCAACCCTATTACTAAGTGATTATATGAATATTTTACACTCAACCTTTTTTGATAAACTCAATGACATTGATAATTCTGTTAAACTTCACAGATCAGATTGCAGTTAAACTCTTCTTGAATTTGCTACAAAATAGCTTCAGTACCTTTACCGGGTTCACACAAGGCAATTTTGATTGATCATACAACATTCAACTATTTGAATTCGATATTGGTTCGTGCTAAGGGTACAGTTTCTAGTAAGTTTACAATGGAATCGTGGCCTTACGAAGACTTGGAATATGCCCTTTACTGACAGACAACGCCAATCAGCAATTGATTCCTGATGACAGCTTTATCAATACTTGTTGCGTGTCTCTATTAAAATTCCGTGAAACCTGCCCTGATTTGTTGTTATGACATATATAAGCAAATTGGATATCTATACTCTATACATACATATAAATGAAATTGGAGTGTCTGTTGAAATAATGAATGATGAATTGAAATAACCGGGCCATTTTCAAATTCGTCGCAGGTTTTCGTGTCCCTCCAGATTGTTTATTTATATTTTTTTTATTAATGATAATTGTTTGTTGTGAGTTATATAAATTAAAAACAATTTAATAAAGAAAACATACAACAGGAAAAAATTGCGGCGTAATTTAATTTTTTCCCACTTTTTTTAAGTAACAGAATGGTAATGTTTGGCAACATAGTTGTTTTCCATACAAAGTCATCGTGTCCCATATAGTAAGACAGTAACATCATTGACGAATAATTCGTTTGTCTCTTTTATTAATAAACTAAAATTAATTAAATTAGTAAATACATTAATTTATAATTTACGTTTAATACTTTAAAACAAAATATTGTGAAAATTTTTAATTCATTCGATTTTTTTAAATTTTGTCCCGCGTTACGTAAGTATTCATGGCAGCACTCTGTTACTATAGTAAATTAATACCCAGAAATAAAACTGACGCTACCGTGCCACCTAAGTAATATTGACACGGTGTCAGAGACTTTTCGAGAAGGTGCGAAGGGGCGGAAGTTGAATGCAACGCCAGTCAGACAGCCGAAAGTTGTGGGAGGAGGCGCGTGTGTTTATTCAGCAGCCACTTTGTTACCGATACTTTTACGTAAGTAATCAGTATTTTTCATGTTTTTACGTTATATATGTAGTATGAGGTGGGCATTTGTTTAAGATGTAGCAATTATATCACGTTATGCTTTATATTGTGATTAATTATTAAAGGAATATAAAATTTAGCATTCTGTTACCAAACAACTCTGTTACTACTTTAACGTAACATAGTTGTAAGCTGAGTAAAAGAGTAGTATTTTGTTTAGTCTGTGCCCTCATTTGTATATCAATTCGAGTGCTAATACATTTAATCTACGAAAATATAAATCTTAATGGTATTAAATGTTTTGTTTCAGGTCTTTTTGTACTTCTGTCTGCTTTCTAGGATGGTTCTTACGCCTGCTGAAAAGCAGCGACGTTATAGGGAACGACATAAAAATACACTGAAACAGAGGCGGAAAATAATAAAAAGACCTTGAAAGATGTCATGCAAAGAAACGTAACGTTAAAGATTTAACGAGCAGGGAACACAGAGCCATTAAAAAAAATGGCGAGCTGCAAATGCCAAACGGAGAGACCGAGCCAAGGCTCTTCGTAAAGTAATGCACACTCCAGAATCTTCAGAAAGATTCCAGAAAGATTGAGACCGATTTATCTTAGGAGCCTTTTGAAACTTTACTTACAATTGTCCCAGAGCCAAAAAAAGTATACAAAGGCAAAAGAGTGTTCTACCAGTTTGATGCTCCGTTAGAAATATTAATAAAGTAATGTTGATCTCATTTTCATTATGATTAAAAATAAAACCCAAATTGTTATTTTTATGTAGTCACTAGTTTCTAAAAACCTTTAAGTCTAAAATGTTGAGATCTCATGTTAGATTTTTTAAGATTAAAATAAGTATAGTACAAGTTTTTAGGCCAGGGGGCCATTCGCCTAACGGAAATGCTTTGTAAAACGCTAACGCTTTCGATTTCTTTTTGTTATTTCTGACCGCCGAAGGTTTTCAAATACCTCACGCTCATTTTCTTCAATATTGTTATTACCAATGCAAAAGAAAAAAAAGAGCGCGAGGCATTTGAAAACCTCAGGCGGCTAGAAAGAACAAAATGAAATAGTAAGCGTTAGCGTTTTCCAAAGCATTTCCGTTAGGCGAATGGGCCCCAGGTGTTATAGAAAACGACAACTGTTACTTTTACTGTCCCAAAGATGTATGGTCTAATATAACAATTATAGAAAAAACTAGACCTTAAAATATTTAAAGTGGTCTCTGAAGCAGTAATAAGATTCATAGCTTTCATTGTAAAATAATTAGATGTTAAAATAAAATCTTTGTAAGATTTGAGGCAAAATATAAAGTTTGTTATTTAATAAAAAGTAACAGAGTTGCTTATGATTTTATTTTAATAAACATAAACAATAATATGAAATTTTGTTTTTGAGAGTTTAAAGACTAATTATATATATAATATATACCTAATTATTTGAGAGTGAGTGATTCCTAAGTTCATTATTTAAATAAAATAATATTTCAATTGGTAACAGAGTAGTATTTATTTGCGCCAAGAGACCTTAAATCTATAAAATAATCCAAAATTATTGAAAAAACATCGCGGTCTATTGACCGTCTGTTATTACAGAATACCAAAATTTAATGTTTATTTTTGTCATAAGTTAATAAATTACAGATGTAGAAATAGTTTATAAAAAAAATATTTTAGGAAGTTAACGTAAGGAAAACCTGCAGAGAATTTGAAAATGGCCCAACCGCTTTTTACTACATGCATATGAATATTTATATACTGTACATATGTTATGGGCCAAGTGATTAATGCGGGCAGTATTCATAATGCCAGTGCAGTATGAATAATGCCCAGCCATATCGGGCCAAGCGATTAATTACAATCTAAACTCACCTATTTATCACATTGCCCGGTCATTATTAATAATGCCGGACGGCTCGTGGTCCATGTAATAAGTCAATGTTTGAGATAGCTTGAATTTATCGCTTGGACCGGGCAGTATGAATAAATTCAAAAAGTTGTTACTATTGTCAAAATGACAGATGTCCCGCCATTTTGTGTTTGTTTTGAAATCTTGGTAAATAAAAAATAGATGGGCTCAACACTTAGAAAAAAAGGTAATGTGGCTTTACAATAGTCTTTAATTCAGAACCGTCTTGGTCAACCCCGACACGCCGTGGTCTTGGTCTGCCCTACCTCTAGAGTGTTTTTTAGAGCCCGGAGGCGCGGAGGGAGAGCAGCCCCTGCCTGTTGTGATAAAGCCGCAAGAATCGTGCGACCCGTAGCGCCTGAGGCTGGTCGCCGCCGGAGATGGCGACCAACAAGCCGAAGGTGTGAAGGGGAGTGATGCTTGTGACTTTGTCACGCAAAGGCGGAGGGGCTGCTATTCCCGCAGCGCCGGAGAGAAGGCAGAAGTACTAATTCTTACTTCCCTAGTCCTTGCATCCTAAAAAATAGGGAACCATAAATTCTGAACATTTAACAGATTTAATGAATTTTTCAAACAAACTGCATTGAAACTACTATAGACTATAGTTTCTAAATGTAGCCTTTCGTAAATTGATCGAAGTA